GCATTCATTCCTGCCTGTGGCAGGGGGTCAGGCTAGATGATCCGTTCAGGTCCCTCCTGACCCTAGCTACTATGAAACTATGACACCTTTCTGCTACTGAAACTGATAGAAGCAGAATGGCTCTTATACCAGGCCCAGACTCCTGCTGTCCAAGCAGACTTCCTATGCACTACAGGGTAAAGGAAGGGCAGTAAAGAGGGAAGTAAAAAGTCCATCATTTTGCTACATGGAAAGACTGAATAATTCTGGGAAATAATTTTAGCTGCTAGGCTTCAAAACATGAGATATAAATAACAAAGCAAAAAACAGTCAAACCAATTATGCAAGCATTATACACAGCCTTCCATTGTATTCACAGGACTCAACAGCAGGACAAATCAGATCTTTGTTAGTGCAAACTAGCCCCAAAGCAACTTTTTACTTCACACTGGAACCACAGCACACTAGCTGTTATCCTGTAATGGTTGGAAGAGGAATCTCAGTTCAACAACTGGGCCAAAAGGAATCTCATGAGGTTCAATAAGGACATGTGCAAAGTCCTGCACTTAGAACGAAACAATCCTACGCACCGATACAGGCTGGAGGCCGACTGGCTGGGCAGCAGCTCTGCAGAAAAGGACCTGGGGGTCACAGTGGACAATTAGCTGAATATGAGCCAGCAGTGTGCCCTCATTGCCAAGAAGGCTAAAAGCATACTGGGCTGCACTGGTAGGCATGTCAAGGGAAGTGATTATTCCCCTCTATTCAGCACTGGTAGGGGCACATCTGGATTACTGTGTTCAGTTTTGGGCCCCCCCACTACAGAAAGGATGTGGAAAAATTGGAGAGAGTCCAGTGGAGGGCAACAAAATGGTGAGGGGCCTGGGGGACATGACTTATGAGGAGAGACTGAGGGAACTGGGCTTGTTTAGTCTAGACAAGAGGAGACTGAGTGGGGACTTAATAGTGGCCTTCAACTACCTGAAGGGGGGTTCAAAAGAGGATGGAGCTAGACTGTTCTCAGTGATGGCAGATGACAGAACAAGGAGCAATAGTCTCAAGTTGCAGCAAGGGAAATTCAGGTTAGATATTAGGAAGAATTCTCTCACTAAGGGGGTAGTCAAACTTTGGAACAGATTACCCAGAGAGGTGGAAGAAGCTCCGTCCTTGGAGGTTTTCAAGACCTGGCTAGACAAAGATTTGGCTGGGATGATCTAGTTAAGGATGATCCTGCTTTGAGCAGGGGGTTGAACTAGATGACCTCCTGAAGTCCCTTCCAACCCACACTTCTACGATTCTGTGATGAACTATTCAAGGTTCCCCACCATCACCATTTCTTCTTCTCTTGATGTGCCCTGCACATCACCTCTGATTTTGGAAGGGCCCTCTATGATACATCCATGAAAAAGGCTCAACCCCTGGACTATTTAAAAAAGCATTCTGCTCTGGAGGAGAGCAAAGGCAGCTGTCCTATCCCTAGACATTTCAACCAGCCTAGGGCACTGGTCGGCAACCTTTTACGAGTGGCAGGGTGAAACAATGCAGCTCAACCCAAGGCAGGCTGGTGCTTCCATCCCAGCCACTGACACTGGACCTTTCCCTAGTCTCTAATAGGGACACAACTTACCACCACAGAATCCCCTAGCTGCTGAATTGCTGCTAAACTGCCCTGCCACTAAAATGCCAACAATATCCAGCCTTTGCAGGCCCACTGAAATACCGTCGTGAACTGTATCTGGCACACATGGAACTGGTTGCTGACCCCTGGCTTTGGGCAAGGTGTACGTACAATTCTGAGTTACACGCATTCAATTCCACCCACCGACAGTCTTCTAAACGAGCTTCATACCTTATGGGGTGGTCTCCACACGTCTTGGGCCGTTCCATGACTGACACCCACTTGTCATCATAGCTGAAAAGGGAGAGGTCCAGGTAGGGACTGCCACTGTAAGACTGAGCACTTATCGGGAGTTGGCCCAGCAGCCTCCGCACGGCTTCCGTGTGCCCTCCATACTTTGCATTCACAATCGTGTCCTTAAACCTGCAGCAGACCAAGGCACAGATTTCATTTGCAAAGGCACGAAACAGGCAGGGATACCAGAGAGAAACAGCAGCAGTTCCAAAGCTATATGCACTGATTCCAGAAGTTGTGTTCTGCCCAGCAGCCTCGATTCTCATGAGCTTTTACCTTCCACCTCAGTTCATGTTTCTATTCTGTTTTGGACCTGATGGACTGACCCAGATGGGTAAGACTTTGGCATTCCACAAGGCCTGACTCTGGCTGTCCTGCAGTACAGGCAATCCACAGGCTCAGAAATAGGACAAGAGGAATAGCAGTTTATCAATCGATCCAGCTTTTACTGCAAAGATCATAAGGAAGTGAAGGCCACAGGGCTTGTAACAACAGCCAGATTCCTGAGGCTTCAGGGTAACTTGGAAAATCTGTCACTCCACCTATTATATTTTGATTATATAAGAGGCAAAACTGTAGAGGAGAAAGAACCTTGAAGAGAAGCCTGCAGCTGTTTAGCTCAGTGCCATGTCTGAAAAGTTCTTCCTGGTGGAGATTAACATGGATTAGATTAGAATTCTTTTTTCCCCAAGCATATTTTCAGTAGGGCTGTACAAAGCGCTGGGTGTTGATTTGATTCGGAGGAGATTTGGCCTGATTCGGAGGCCAAATCTCCGAATCCAAATCAAATCAGGGGACCAAAGGTCCAAATCGATTAAAAACTCTCCGAATCTTCAGAAAAGACTTGGAGAGCTTTGATAATTCAGGCAGTCCCTGGTGGCTGCAGCAAAGAACTGGGGCAAGCTCTGAGCTGGTAAGTACTAGGGGAAGGGACTGCAGGGGGACCCCTGCCAGCCCCCTTGACTTCCCCCACTCCCCTCCCGACCCAGGTCAGTACTTTAAAGAAAAGCCCCAGTGCTCACTGAGTGCTGCCAGGCAGGGGGACAATCTCTGCTGTCCCCCACTGCATGGGGAGCTCTGCCATGAGCCTCCCAACCCACCCCCTCGCTCTCCCAGCCCCCACACAGGTGCCCCAGCTGAGTCAGCTTTAGCCCTTTAAGAAAAAAACCGAGAAAAGCCCCGGGACTCACCACTCCTGCAGTGGCTTCAGGACCTCACGCAGAACCCCCCACGTGCTGCAGGGCAGTGGCGGGCAGCAGGGACGGCCCCCCCACCAGCAGAAGCGGCAAGTCCCAGGGTTTTTTTATTTTGTTTTTTTTCTTAAAGGGCCAGACCTGGCCTGTGTTGGGCACCCATGGGGGGGTTGGGGGAGTAAAG